TCCTTCACCATCTGGTCAACATGTGTGCCAATTCTCTGGGACTATGCCTTCTCTATATTATTTAATTACCCACACATATAAACTCCATTTTGTTTTTGTAGACTAAACATATTTCACTTCACTTTTTTAAATATGGCAAAATATTCAGAAATCACATTACAGCAAAAATGAAATTATGTTTGGTTATGAAGATTTTTCTCCATCTCGGTATTTTATGCTTACACCATACACTTGTTTGCCTTTTTACCTTTTAAAATATTGCACATTAACCATTCACCAACACCTGATTATAAAATAATATCAAAAGTGTTAAGTCATGAAAATGTTTGTATCAGCATCAATACCTTAAAAATGACTAAGATACATATGCTGCCATTTTAAGTAATTATCTACTTCTTCCATGTACGTGACACTCATGAGCCTCTAACAATAGCAAAGATTTCATTAAACTGTTGTGCTGTTCCTGAATAAAAAATATTAACAGTATTAAAAAATTGATTGAGATTGCATGTTATTTTTATATTTTATTATAAAATTAAATAAGGAAAATTTTAGTTCGAAAATCACTAATAGATCCCTGGCTGTCAGTTCCAAGATCTGTGGACCACAGTTTAAAAATCTCTATTCTAATGTTTGTTCAATGGTCTAAAAAATCTGTGTAGCCTTATCGCATCTAGTGACATGTAGTGGAATGAGAAACTTTTCTAGTGTTTTCTTAGCTCTAATTTGAACAAGAGCTGTCTAGTTGCATTTAGCAACAATCTATTGCATGTACGTAATTTCAATATTTTATGATGCTATGAAAAAATTGCACTGGCAAGTTTGTTTTCCATAGGAGAGCAACCAGCCAGAGAAGGTTGTATGTCTGCATACTATCTGGTAGTAACGGGATACTCAGAAATGTTTCTCATTGAGTTGTGCATGTCTATATCAATAAATGTCTTAATGTGCCAAGATTTTTTTGCTACAATATGCCATCTTGAAAAGAGCAAATTTGCCAGTGCTATTTTTAGCGACTCTTATTACACGAAGATTTTTGGCTAAATTGTTCCAGCTTACAGAGTTCTGTGCCATTTAAACTGGAACAATTATCGAGTCTATTCTTAGATCCTGCAAATATCCGTTGCTGTTTATATGTTTGTTGTTTTCCTTCTTGGACTAATTTTGTGGTTGTGCTGATGGGTTATATTCTCATTTTCATTCATGTGATTATCCAGTCATCACAAGCATTTAAACAGGCTTAACTATAATCATGAGAATTTAATATGAGCACTATCTTAAGGGCAGATAGGAACAATCACCATTGTAATATATTTTATGTTTTTAAGTATGAATTTATCTGCAGAATAGATCACTATAATTCTGCTAATATTTAAACATGATTGTATAAGATAGAGCTTTATGTGTAATTTTATTTTAAAACTTTCTAAAAATTCATTTTTATTTAATTTAAGCATCTAAATGCATACTAGGTTATCATGCAATTTTTTTTTTTTTTTTTTTTTTTTGTTTTTTTTTTTTTTTAGTAATTTCATGATCAAAGGCTCTAATAAAAATTATTAGTACTATTACAGAGGGAAAATGGCAGATAACCAGAATTCTATCACTGTCAAAGAATTAATTGACAAGGCAATGACACTTGATGCAATTCAGACTGCAAGACAAAAGAATAAGCAGAATCAGTGCCCAAAATCTCAAAGGTCTTTTAATACACGTGATGAATAGCATAGTAAATATTATCCCGCAGTTGATGACACTCAAGACGTTACTTGTTGGCAATGTAGACATGAAGACCATGCACTACTCTAAGACTTCCATAGAAGAGCAGTCAGTCAGTGGAATTAAAAAAGCGAGAAAAATCCATAATAAAACACTCATCTTTTACTCAGCGATCAGGTATCACTTAAAAAGAATTTCAGAAATACTGCATTCTAACACTGCTTGCAGTTTTTGATATTGCATTTCCATAAAATTTGATCATTTAATAAATGCAACTTCATGGAATGCAAATTTTTTCATTCTCTACTGTTGTACAAAACACAGTGTTTTTTGAAGAAATGCAATGCTTTCTCTTTCATTGGCTGGCAAACTCCACATTCCCAGTACAATTTATTGCAAGAAAGAAAAATGTGCTCACCGCAAAAAAAGGGGAAAAAAACAGAAAAATTATTGTTAAATTTCAAAGGCTTTGCACACATGCATTAGGGTTTCCGCCTAAATATGTTTTGACGACATTTTCTGTTGCCACCTAACTATTTTGGCAATATAGTGTGTTGCTTCTAAAATACTTTTCAGAGGAGTAGTGTAGAAAATCAGAAAGAACCAAATTCTTCTTAAGTTCATATCTGCAATGTAATTTTTAACCTGTAGTTGTTCCATGCAGTCTATTCATGGAAGCTCATTCAGTACTCCTCTGTTATCAGGACCGGCTTCAGAAATGTATTTATGCATGCATGCATGTGTGTGTATATATGTATGCATAAACACACATACATGCATATGTACATGCATATATGAACACATACATGCATGCATACATATATACATTTCTGAATCCTTTCCCCCTCCCTGATAACAGAACAGTATCACTAATTCTTCATACATGTCAAATTCAGCACTGACTCTTCAAATAAACACCAGCAGTCGAGCAGTATTAGTAATATCGGTTGATGCATCAAGAAACCATATGAATTTTTTTTTTTTTTTTTTTTTTTTTTTTTTGTCTTTTAATTGATATGGTGCCTGATAACCCCAAGTCTTCATTTGTTCTCGCCTAAAGACAGACAGATGGAAACATGTCTATTTTTTCTGGGCACATTTCTTTGGTTGCCACAAAGAAACATGATTTATATAATTAGCCACTGATAAATGATTTTCCTTTTGTGACTAATAAATAAGTTACTCATAGGCTGACTTTTAGTTACTGTTTCATTGCAATTTTTTATTTTTACCAATATATTGTGTAGTGATGATGCATTCTGTTTTAAACATTGTAGTTTTAATGATTGCTCATTTTTGTGAGGCTTAAATGTTGTATCGCATGCTTAGTTTAGTAATGATGATGTATAACTATTATGTCATTACATATTAAACATAAAACTGTCATTTAATTTTTGATAAATAATTGACACTCCAGTCTGCTTTAAAAGCATGACATTTGAAGTCTGCTTTTCCCATCTTTTTTGATTTTTAGTGACATGGTTACGGTAGGTAATGAATAAAATAAAATATAAATAACAAAATATTGTAAAGTAATTTGACAGATCATACCATGGGCAACGCTATAGCAAAATTGTCAATGTGCTTGCTTGGCGCATGATGCCTAAACATCGCTTGATGGAAGTGCTTTTAAAAGCAATGACAAATGAAAGAATATGACAGTAGTGCTAATCACAGTAATTATTCACAACTTTTCAACTTATTTAGCCGTTGCATAATAGCGTGCTATTTGATTTTTATTTTTACATGTAAAAAAAATATTAGTCCATGGGTGGCCAGATTAAAAACAAGTGGCAGGCTGTAGTTTGCCGATGCCTGGTCTAGATCAATGGGATTTCGTTAAACCATGTACTACATTTCATACAGTTTGCTGCAATGATAGGAAAGCTAACTGTCATAGTCTTTTGCCCGAGTTTAAATCCAAGAGAAAACATGAATATTTGTAAGGGTATAATGTCCTTTTAACATCATGCTGTCACCTAAAATATTACTAAGCTGAAAGTCCTATCAAGTGGTTAAGGCAAAAGAAAGAAGAGTGGAAGTCCCTTGAATCTATCCCTGAGATCTTTGGATCTGTCCTTGATCTGTCTCTTTTCAAAATTGGGATATTTCCTAAATAATTTTCCAATATATAATTTATTATATATTAATAAGCTATGTTGTAAGTACAATACTAAAAAGACCAATTTGGTCAAAAACGTTTGTGCAATATGCTGCAAAATTATTGGATATTTTTCTCACAGGTGTAATTCATTTGCCCGTAGGAAGATTCTCATTGATGAAACAGGTAAATGACCAAAGAGTTCAGTTATATCCTACAAATACTTAATTAGCAAATTAGCCAGGCATTGGAAAAAGTACTTTTCCGTAAATCTTTTATTGCATGCTGTAACATACTTGCCATAAAATAAGCATTTAAAATTATGAATATTTGCTATTGAGGTGGGATTATATCATGTAAATAAAAATTAAAAAAAAAATTATTTACACAATATGATTTGAAATTGTTCTTGAATTTTTTTAAAACAATCTGCATATTTCTGTATATTGTTATTTCATTTTATTGTTATCTTTTTAATGAAGGTCCATGTTAACTGAAGTCTGTGTTTTGGTTGATGTATTAAATATTGCAAAAGAGAAACGTTATATGGTCATTGATCCAGTTCATCAAGAAGCACCAGATCCTAAACCTATGGTAGTTCTTCTTCAGAAAAAGAAAGTAAGTAATTTGCAAAAATGACACCAATATGGTGTTTTTAAATGTTTATTTATTTGTTTTTAGTTTATTTACTTTTAATTTTTCCATTATTATTATTATTACTGTTTTCCCACCCAAACCAATTTTCCTCTTTCAGAATTAACTGCCACATCTAATCGCAATCTTGAAAACTAGTATTTTTTACTTTTTTCTATTAACTATTCTGTTACAAAATAAAACATAAGTACTAAAAAGTGCACATAGCTACTAAAAAAAAAAAAAAAAAAAAAAAAAAAAAAAAAAAAAAATTTTATAAACTTTTTACATATTTTCTCATCAGAGATAAAGAAGATAAGTTATTATCTTGTAGATCTACCACACCAATGCCATCATTATATTTTGAAATGATATTGGGCTTAGTATGTACAGCATATCGGTCATAATGCTGCATCAGAGCTCCTGGTTTCAAAGAGCTGTCTTTCCAAGAATATGATCAGTAAATGGGAAAAATTCATCAAAAAGTGCTTTGAAAGTTATGCAGCATATCATTGGTGACTGTGAAGCAAAACATCGCAATGTGCTTTGCACAAATTGCCAGTGCAGTAAAATCTATGTTTATGTTAAAATTTTCCTTGGGAAACAGTGTTACTTCTTAAATAAAGGTATCATCCCTCTTATTCTTATATTAAATATTGTACAGAGTAATATATCTGAATTTTTATTAGTTTTTAAAAGGAAACATTTTTATACTTAATGTATAGATAATACATTAAGTGAATTGAAAGTAGAATAACAATGGTTAATTCTTGTAATAGTAATAATATAGTAGTTGCATTAAAAATCTACATAGTAATAAATAGTAATAAAATATACATAGTACATCTCACGCTAAAAATTTTATTACAAATCATAAAGAACTTTCTCCTTCCCTACCTTTTGCTGTCATGGTGTAATTAATAATATCTCTGGCTGGCATTTGGAAGATTCAGAGTTCAAATCTTGATGAGGGCATGGCAAATTTTTCATATTTCCTATTTGCAAAAAAATTCAGAAAGTTCAACAATGATTAAATTGTAATGGATAATAGTTTATTGCATTGGATCCGTTTCTCTCCTGTTGCCTTTTAGTTGTCAGAGAATATAAAGATTCTCTCCTTTCCCATCTTGTTTTTTCCTGGTATTATTGGTGCTGCATGTGGTTAGTAAACAGAAGATCCATATTCAAATTCTGAGGAAGGCATAGCTAATTTTTTGTTTCCTGCATCAAACAACCTACTCTGTAGCGTCTTTTTTCATTTGCCTCTTGAAATATATATTGACAGTGCTTTACTGTAGTATGTGAATTCCATTTATAAGAATTTGTGGTATTTTAAGGTATCCCAGATACTAAAATATGTAGGTATGTATCCAAAGTATAATTTAAGCCACCCTAGATAGTATGGTGTTAGCAAAGAATGGAAAATATGTCATTGGGATTAAATTCAAGAAAGTGTGGATATTCTTAAAAGGCAGTGTTTGTCATTTATAAAATTAGTCAACTGAAAATGCCTCTCAAAAGATGATGATAGTGGTAGAGGGCCTCTAATCCTAATAAGTATTCTCAGTTGAAATTAGGTACCAGGGCTTAATTTCTAAAATTAGAAGTGCTGGAACCCTGTGTTGTGCCATTGGGAACGATGAATAAAAAATTAGTATAAATAAAGTAATTAAAATAATAAATTATGTTGACTTAAATGTTTTATTTAATTTTAATAATTATAAAATGAGCATCTCGCGCGTTGTATACAAAAATGCCCCCCGTACAGTATTGCCATTCCTCGCTATGAAATTGTTGAGTTTCTTAATAAAAAATTCTTTAATGTCTGACAAAATATGAAATCGTAATAAAACAAATTCCAAATTAGGGCTTCCAGATGCCCATATTTGCCGGAGGATTATGTTATTCTAAATTTCATGGTTCTAGAAACCATTGTTTCACAATGCAGGAAACATACATGCATTCATGTAAATTCTTCATTATTTAATTTCTTTACATATGACATAGGGCTTTAAAAATTGGTGGCAACAGTTTGAAAAGTGAAGCAATACAAAATGTAAAATGGAATTAATAGCTCTTCTGGGCTAACGCCCATTTGGCCAGAAAGAAATGGGGAGCTCATCTTATTTAGGTCTGAGGTGCTTTATGATTATCTTATTTAGGTCTGTGGTGCTTTATGATTATAATTATGATTTATCTCAAAAACAGAAATATCGGAGCCAAGCTTCAGTGGCCTCTGGTGGTTTAGAAGCTTACTGATACTCAAGATCATTAATTAATGACAAGTATCATCCTATTTCATATCCGAGATTATTTATGAGACCATATGTACCTTGGACATGGAATTATGCTGATATCAAAGAAGCAAACATGAAGCCCAAAAGGGAATTTATCCTAAAGATATTCTCTCAAAATGAATGAGTGAAAAGCCCTTTCTTGGTGTCACCCCAGTCTACTTCCCTGTTGCTATGAGACGGAGTGCTGAGCTTTCATGATGTCTCTACAGGACATCATGTTCTCGCTTGCTAAAAATTGGCAAAAATACATTTTTATTTAAGTTAACTCAATTTTTTCAAATATTAAAGAAAATGCATTTACCTGTATGCTTAATGAATTATAGAATTAAATATGTATAATGTTTACAGTTGTAATCATATATAGAGATTATGAAAGAGGAATTTCAAAACAAACATTCAGCATATGTTAAACTGTGATTAAAATATTTAAAATAAAGCAATAGATCTACCTTGGCACATCCACACTTACATATATGCATTTGCAATGAAATTTAAAAATTGGTTGTCTAAGTCATATATTCTGAAGCATGGGTCCACACAGAATCCTACATTACAATCTTTACACTCAAAGTACAATGTTTTTCCCAAAGTTCGCTTCTTCTGCATAGTTTGAGAGCGAACAATTTATTCCTTTATCCTGTACTTTAATTCTATTTTTTGCAGGCAAAATCTCTGAGGTGGCCCTTTCTTAAGCAAGGAAACTTAGACAAAATCAGTTGAAGGAGCATAAATAAAACCTTCATCGAGTGAGGTAGAAATGACCTCTACTCAAGTTATTGGTTCTGAAATTCTTAGATGCCCAAGACTGAAGATACAAATAGTTGTGGGCTTCATCACAGAGCACTACTATTTCAGAAAACACCTTCATACTGCAGGACTTTTTCAACAAGACTCTGTATGCAGAAAAATACCTGAGCTTTATTAAGGGTCTGTCAGACTTTATAAACAAAGTGGGCAACCCAAACAAATGGAGCTAGGAGGCATTGGGTTTGGTGCGTTTGGCACAAAATGCTATTTAACAGAGATGCCTCATACCTGACAAACTCAATCTAACGAAGAAGAAAGAAAAAGTAGTATCCACACATCCCATATTTTTGTTGTACTGCAATACAGTCAAAAGTCGTTAATTCGGACACCCATAATCCGGAATGATCTATAATCCGGACCTCAAAGCTAAAATCTTTCTGCGCATGCGCCGCGTTGACGCATGCTCATAGGCGTTTTACGCGTCGCGCACTTTACAACTGCGCATATGCGTCTGCGCAAGTGCGAATACGTTTTCGCGTGCGGACGGTATAAGCTAAAATTATCTAATTATCTAATTTTCAGTTAATGTTGATGATTGCGTTGTTCCTTAATCTTCGAATTGGATCAGGCTTATTATTTTTTGCAGACTGTAAGAGCAATTTTATAAAAGTAAGCTTGAACTTTCGATTATGTCAAATAGAATTTCCGATGCTGGAGCTCCCAAAGGATCTACGAAAACGAAAAGTATGTTTCGATGTCCATCAAACAAAAACGAATTGCTGCAAAAAATGGATAAAGGCATACCCTTTGTTTATCTAACCATTCCGAAATCTGTTTATCAATTTCACGCTGCTCTGCGGGGGGGGGGGACGTTGCGGCACGCAATGAACTGGAAGTTGATCTGTCAGCACTATCGTTATCTTCAGGGCAGATGTTTTTATTTTATTCGGCTTATAATTCCTTACTAAATGTAGTATTTCATCTCGATGTACTCCGTCTTTTGATATGATTAAATCAAATTCCTCGTCATTATAAATATCACGAATACACATCAAATAGTTTTCTGGTTGCAATTTTCTAATTTCGGCTATGCGTAAGGTATGCTTTACGCGCGTTGAAAGAAATGTTTAATAAAGTAAACAAATAAATATTAAGCTTCTTTTTTTTGTTTTTTTTTTGTAAATTTTGATACCCTTTAGATCATAATTGCTCTTTATTTCATAAATTAACGGTTTCATATTTTTAATTTTATAATTTCTGCATGCCATCTTGCCAGATTTAAACTGATGATCTATAATCCGGAAAAATCGATAATCCGGAATCGCCGAAGTCCCGACGAGTCCGGATTAAAGACTTTTGACTGTATGCAGTTTTGTTTTTCAATTTTTACTCCTGTTTTGTAATTTTGTTTACTGCTAAAGCTGCTGACATTCCTGTTACTTAGGTCTTCTTGTAATAAAGCTGTATAAGCTTTCAATAAATATTACTTTCATTTTGACATCTTAATTCCCCCCCCCAAAGAAAGAAACCAAAAAATTTACATTCACACAAAAGAAAAAACACCTTCTCTACACCTGATAAGAAGAAAATAACTGAAAACTGCATTGTGTGAGATATTGCTTCCTTAGAAAGCTACTCGAAAGAAACTTAAATAAAAAGGCATGTGCAGAGCCCCAACATACTTGTTTTAATTGCTGAATTCTGCTATCTACCCTTCAGAATTAAATGAAACAGTCCAAGGTCAAAATTTAGGCATCATATTCCCATTTATTTTGATACCATGGACATAAGGCACCATCTGTTAGAATGAAAAGTATTCACATTTCGTTCCATGTAATTGCCATACATGCATTAAGCCATCTAGCTAGGCACTAATCCTCTGTGACGCAGACATCACACCTGTTATAGATATTACTGTAGCATATACGACACACTTGTCCGGAAAGAGCTAAACAGCTGCTTTTCATCCCAAATGTTTCATATCAATAGGGAAAAAATTGCGAATGATGCTGTTTTGTCCATAGTCAGCAAATTAAAAAAGGGGGTGAAGAAGAAGAGAAAAAAGGATCATAAGACCTATGTAATTTAGTTGCATAAAATTATCAAAAGCAAAAAGTCATCGAAATGTTTTGCTAAACTTTTCGCTTGTTTGGATGTTGTGATAATTTATTGTCCTACATTAGAAACAAGTTATTTCAGGTGTTTATTAATTTCTTTAAGTAATAATGTTATTTACTTTCTTTTACTTATGAATAATTTGTAAGATTGATTTATATGAGCATGAGTAACTTAAAATATATTATATACGTAATTTATTATTTATATTTATTTTTGTAATTTTTTTTTAAATGTAAATATTGTACAGTAGGGTTCTCAACTGACCAAATGGTAGGCAGTATACATAGTCTATTAATAGGAAAACAATATAAATTAGCATTTATGTAATGTGTTGTAGATCAGATTTTAAAAGTTTGTATTTATGCTGTAAAAAAATTTCAAAGCAAAGTCATTTTAAAAATTAGGGTCAATAATGCTTTATATAAATTTACTTGAGTTTCTCGGTGAAGAAACACCTGTCTTTTAACTACAGTTACACTGCACTTTTTTTCCGATGTATATCTGGTTCTGAGAAAAGTCATGGTGAAAATATGATTGCTTAAAGAAAACCAAATGAGAAATAATCTACTGAATTTAAACTATACATTTATATTCAGTGAAAGTGTATTAAAGAAAGCATTTAAAATTAAAATAAATATTCTTAATAGATATATTTTGAATACATTTTAATTGTTCTGTAGAATATTTCTTGTTTATGACATCTTGCAAAGCATCTGTCACTTTTATAAGTTGTTTTAACTTATTTTGCAAGTTTTTCTGTTTGTATCACATTCATATAAAATTAATGTCCCACCAATCACCAGGTAGTTAAGACCACTGGATACTGATAGTTCAACTTGAATTAGAACCCATATGAGTGGGCTGGAGTGTTTTTCATGTTTTCCCCATGTGTAACATGAATTAGTTTTCCTTAGAAAGCCATTTGTAAAATCATATCTTCCCGTAGGCAGATAACCCTCATGTGCTTTGCTATATTCAAGTAACCTACCATATAAAATTAATTATTTACAATTTTTGCATAATGATTAAGCATCTCCCCCACCAGTAACAGATTAGCTGAATTTTGTGATGCATGTAATTTGAGGTATCTTTCAAAAACTTTTTTTTGTTAAAGAATTTAATTTTTGTAAAAATTTTAAAATCTATTGCAGTAATCAAATGTATAGTTATAAAATATTCATAATTATTAATTTACAGGCTCTTGCAAATGCTGCTGCAATAATATTGCGTGGTGCTGAAAGACTGAGAGATTCACAGTGTGAAAGTGCTAGAAATAGGACAGCGCCTGATTTCCATCTGGAATTGCTGCACATGAGACAGTCATGGAGATTAAAAAAAGTTGGCAATAGTATATTAGGAGACCTTAGCTATCGCAGTGGTAAGGACCCAGCTTTTATTGATGTTATTTCCCAAATATTTTTGTCTTGATTTGCTGTATGTGGTAATATATTTAAAATTGTCACATAAAATCACATGTAGCATGAAATGAATAAGCAAATATATTGATGATAACTAAAAGAAAATAGTAATAAACATTTTTTTTCTTTTTCAGTGGGACAAATGGTTGTTTTAACTCAATTTACAAAGGAACTTATATGAATTCATTGTAATTCTTTAGTTATTATGTATCTGAACTTAAATATGTTTGTCATAATTGTGTTACAGCTGAGAAAATCAGTGTGCAATTTTTTTGTTTTGTTTAATTTGTACAACTCATTAAAATTTAAGCATCAGTAATATTACAGGCATATTCAGTATGGAAGAGAAGGATACATAATGCAATCATTTAAAAGTTTTTAGGGAGGCCATTTATAGACCTAAGTGAAGTATTTGGTCCAATAATCATAGAAAAGAAGAGAAATCAGCTCCCTTCTTGGGTGGAGTGATACGGTAATTACTTGGTGTTTTGTAACAGTGGATCAGAGAAGGCATATGCAACTAATGTAGAAGTTCAAGATACTCCCTCTATATAAACACTAAAGCCCCGTTCACATGCAATGCTCTTTCTCACAGCCACCATTTGTATTGGGGAGAAAACGGGATATGAAGCAGTTTCGCCTGTAGGACCGGTTCAGATGCTCATCGTCTTTTGTCCCTTAATCCATAAGCCACTGCGAGCAATAAAAGATATCACAAACACGAATCAGATTGGCAGATTTCTAACATTTCCTTTCATATTGCTTGCTATTGCTATAGAACGCCATCAGAGTGTAACTCTTTAATTAATTAAAATACACCTAAATTAATTTTAAATGCAATTTATATTTGAGACCAAATGGTTAAAAGAAGATGAGAAATCACGTATGCTGCTGAATGGTTTTAAACACAATGCTTTGTGGATGTTAAAATTTCAAACTTTGCTTTTTGAAAAAATGAATACAACAAAAAATTAATATTGTTAATATTAATCATAAATGTTTTAGAAAATATATTATAATTAATTCAAGTATTAAAATTGTTTGAATGTGTTTTACAAAGACTTCTAATAAAAAGCTTGTAATTTATGTTTATATTAATTGAATAGCACTAGCTTTTTTATGTATATAAGTATTGAAATTCAGCAATAACAGGTTTGAGAAATTTGAAATGATTTAATGGCCATTTAGATAGTTTACATTCTTTAAAGTGCATTTTGTCAGTTTACATTTTTTCAATAAATCCATTTACTTCAAGTCCTAAAACTTATATGGAACAAATTATTTAATATTTTTATTGCTTATTTAAAATTATATACTTTATAGAAATAAGGATAGGTTTTGCAAAATGCTGAAAAGAAAAATTATTTGAAGTGAAAATGTGATTGAGATTGTATTTGTCTCAAAGTTTTGACATAAAGTAATTTAATTTTTGTTACAGAAATAAGGATAATTGATAAAAGTTATTAAAATTAAAAAAAAAAAAACACTAATAAACACAATCAGAAAATTTGGGGGGAAACATTAAAAATTGTAAGAGAAGAAAAATATTTAATTGTTAAACTTTTCATCTAAAAATTTAAATTAAAAAAAAAATCACTGGCAATTTTTTCTCAGCTTAAAATCATTTTGTCTTACAAAACCATTTAGTAATATTCATAACTGGCAGACACAAGTTCTTAAATAAAGAAATAATTCAAAAGGTACTGAGTCCCCTTGTCGCATTGAAGCCGATATGCACGTTTTCAAATTTAATTTGAATGGTATCAGATAACCTTGTCTGTATTTGTTTACAAATTTCCATATTACGTATGGTTCTATCTATTTTTTTTATGATGTCGCAACCACCAATGTGATTGTTTCGCTGACAATCCAGCAAGCCATCAGCTGCGCATCAACCATGTTGTTTGTTAAAATTAAGTGAACCATGCAGTCGCACAGTGCAGTGTGGGAAATCTTCTCATTTGCCCTGCTCCCGAGAGGTAACAACGTTCTGCCAAATTCTACCTCCAATTCGGAGAAGCAGTTAATGCTTGTTCAAAGTGTGAATGGGACACGTTCTTAGAATCATCTTTTGCTTCCGGTCGAATCTGTTCTTGTGAACAACGCTTAAAAAATATTCAAATAAGGAGGGGGGGACTACTTTTTTTTATTGCTGTCATACAAAGGCATTTCAATCCATCATGCATCCCATTATATCAAGTATTTGAAAACAATTAGTAAGAGTAGGGATTAGAATTCAGCATCCAGTCAGGAGACTAATGGATGTCACAACTTACTCTTAACATAGACAGAGTCTGGATTTATGCCGAGTTCACTCATCTTTGAAGTTTTCTGTACTGATAAATCCTACTTTATTTTTTCGAGTTTTAGCCATCACACTTAGTATGATGGTCAGTTTTCCAACATTTTTTTAGCTTAATGCCCCATTCTTGTAAATTAGCTCAATTATCAAAATTGCAAGTATATTTGTGAGTGTAATTTTTGAATCTTGAAAGTTAGTTTGAAAAAAGTTTTAACTAAAATTGAAATTTTAAAGCTACATATTAGTAAACAAAAATTAAATTATACAAAATCAAAGGTATTAAAATGTGTGTGCTAAATGAGAATTCTCATGCAGGTGTAATGCTGTTTTTCTGAATTTGGCTGCATTTTTCTTAGTAATGTATTAAAATCTCTGTTTTCAGTTATTAGTAGTTTGTTTCTTTTTTTTTTTTTTTTTTTTTTTTTTCTTTGCTCATTATATATACATTATATCTAAGATAGAAAATATGTAAAAAATAAATTATAATTCAAATTAGCGATAGCCTCTTAATGCATAAATTAATTTCAACTTTTTTCTAAAAATAGTATAATCTCTTTCTGCACTAGGTCATTTCCATACTAATCCATGTATTGTGACTCCATAACACAGATAGTGTAAATGGAACTAAAACAGTCAATAATAATTTTACGGCAATTTTAATTATCCAATCAATATGCATTGAGAGCCAAAACTAATTCAGTCTGAATTAAGATTTAGTCCTGAATGCAATTGTACTTACTTTCTACACTTTTGCCTTGCTGGACCGCTGCTTGCTGTTCTCATCTTACTGCAAAGTTATCAAAAATTTAAACATATTGAAGTAGGCACAAGTAGTGTGCCAAATTGTTTGTGGCCACAGCATGTTTCAAGTAAAAATGAAGATTCTCTTTACTATGGATCAGCATCCTATGTCCTGTGCTCTCAATATTTCTACAGCATAATTGCTTCTAAGTCTACTTCATTGCAATGATATATTACAGCAGCTTATAATGATAAATAATTTTTTTTTTGTCTTTTTACAGCTAAATGTCATAAAATACATTAAGAATTTTAGTTTTAATTTTTTATTTGTGAATTAAAGTTTAAAATGAGCCTAAAACCCATTGAGGAAGTTTTATTGGTAATGAAGCTTGAAATCAGTTGTCAAAATCATCAGTTATTGCTTTGTTTTCTGCAGTAAATCACAATATGCATCATGGGATCTCCATGAGGAAAGATATGAAAACTGGCAGTCCAAAATCCCCTTTATTATTATTAATGTTATTATTTTAAATTAATATATAAGGATAACAAGATATTATTTTGAAAAATGTTTGAGTGAATTTTTATGAGTTTGTCATTCTTGTCATGCATCATCCAACTATATATGGCAATGGTAAAAGATGCATAACAAAATTTAAGTAAGTTAAAACTCTGTTGTTTCCATTAAAGTGTCACCATTTATTGTCTATTTCTGAAAAGTGTTCCTTCAAGAAGCACCTCACTAAAATATGCCATATTGAATGAAATATTTTTAAATCTTGCCTAGCAGTTGTGACTTCCATAGATCCACCATATAAAAGTGCATTTGATTGTGTGGATGATATGATGACAGAATAATAGAACAATATAGCCTAGATGTTATGATGACTGTGAAATATTACTTGGGTTTCCACAGAAGACTTGCTAGACATTTCAGTTTTTGCTATAATCTCCTCCCTTAAAGCTGTAATCTTTTTATTTAAAGTATAATTATTTTTACCAAGAAATTGCTATGCATAATTTCTTTTCAGCATTTTATTTTACCGCGAGGGAAGCATTTTTTAAAAAAAAAATTATTATATGATTCAGAGACGGAACTATATAATGAAAAATGAAAATTGCCGTTGAAAACAAGTAGAATTTAGCTGTATGAATGCACACTGCGCAAATAATAATTGACTTTTAGGCATCTGTCACAGCTGATTGCTGGCAGTGAGGATGGTCGATTTGGTTGGCTACATAATCTGCATTCTTATTTGTTCCCAGGGTGTTTTATGAAACTTAGCTTGTGGCGTTGAGAAGGCCATTTCAATTTTTGAACACCCATTTCATCAAACAATGGCTGTTCAAATCCTGATGTGTGAATGGAGCAGGATAGAGCTGCAAAGTTATCAAAATCAGGATTAACTTCCAGCAGGGTACCCCGAAATATTGATATAGAGATGAGAAAGCAGCATTATCCAGAATGTCTACATACATCTCAGAGTTCACATTTAAAACCACACGAACTAAGGAACCCAAGCCGTACCATGAAAAACATCCCCACAGTATGATGCTGCCGCCACCAAACTTTACAGTCGACACAGTGCAGTCACTTAACCTCTTCGCGCCGACTGTCACGTCTATGTGCCAGCAACGAACACACTCACCTCCCGGCCGACACGCAGGCGTGCCAGAGCATTTTCCCTACTAAACGACTGTCATGTATTTGTGCCAGTGTCCTGGAATGTTGTAAAACTATAATTTCTGTTCACAAGATGGCACTGTATGTCCATATGGTTTCAGATACATGTACATGTACCTTGACTACTCGAAATGAGAAGAGAGAGAAGCATGACTCACATACACGTGTTTTTGATTATATAAACAAAAGGAGAAATAAATGTTTCCGAATGGCGTGATTTATGACGTCTCTTT